TTTTTTTTTTTTTTTTTTCGTTTTTTTTTTATTATTATTATTTTTCTGTATTTCTCTCACCCTCTCTTTCTTTCTTTGGTCCTTTATATATATATATATCTGTTTGTGTGGAAAATGTTTTTTTTTTTTTGTTTTTATTATTGTTTTCTGCGTCATTGAAGACCTTCGTTGCGTGTCGACTCCGTTTGTATGAACTGGAGTCATGGAAGAAAGGAGTAAAAGATGAGGAGGAGAAACGGGAAAAAAAGAAAAAAAATAATTTAAAAAAATAAATAACAACAACAAGAACAACGAGGCATTAAACGGTGAAAGGTAAATGAACAGATTGTGATGACTCACAATATCTGCTTATCGCCTTCCTTTTCCGCGTTTATACATGTACAGCACTGCCTTTTATCAATCAATCTTTTTTTTCTCTTTTATTATTATTTTAATTCATCAGTATCATTTTTTTTTTTGTTTTGACTTTTATCAACAGCTTTTATATACTTACGCTGCTGTACTCATATTGGGAAGAACAGACGTTTCACCTTATCTAATGATGTATAATTAAACACGTGTATGTTTGCATATATATATATATATATATATATATATATATATATATATATATATATATATATATATAAAAATGCATTTATTATTATTATTGTTTTCAGTTTTTTTTTTTTCTTTATTTTAGTATGTTGTGACATTTTTTACACGCTCTTTTTTTTTTTTTTATTTTACTATGCGCAAACCCACCCGGGAAAAGCAATTATATATATATCTATATTTATATAAAGTAAAAGTAAAGTTGTGGGAAAAATAAAGTCTATTCTCCCTTTCCCCCCCTTATTATTATTATTTCTGCTATTATTAGTGTTGTTTTTTATTGTTTTTTTTTTCAGCATTTTTAGCAGGATTGCCATTACCACCTTATCTTTTTCCTCTTTATATCTATATAATGTATCTCACCCATCAGTCCCTATCTTTGTTTCTTTTTTCTTCATTCTTCTTCCCCCCCCTCTAATTACTAACTTCAATTTTTTTTTTTTTTCTTTTACACAACTCCTTCGTGGCGTTGTGTTTTTTTTTTCTCTTTTCTTTTCTTTTCTTTTCTTTTCGTTTTACTTTTATTATTATTATTATTATTATTATTATTATTATTATTATTATTATTATTATTATTATTTTCTGTATCTTCAGTAGAGATGTCAAGAGGAGACGCCTGTGCGTCTTTATCGGGGGAGTGAACAGGGAGGAGGGTTACACCAACAGAGGGGGAGAAAAGCAGTCATTTTCTTTTTACTATTTATTTTTATTTTTAACTGTTGCTGTTTCTCAATGATGAAAGGAAGAAAAAAAAGAAAGAAAAGACCTTTGAAGAAACAAAAAGGAAAAACAGAAATTTTTGATTTATTTCTCTTTATCTTTTCTGTTGTTTTTCTTTTGTTTTCATTCTTGGAGGACTTTGGGGGAAAGAGAAGAGAAGAGAAGAGAAGACAAGGGCGGGAGTGAATAACTGGGTAGTGAGAGTGTCCAACCAGTGAACTGTTTTTGTTTTCTTTCTCTTTTTTTTTTTTTTTTTTGTTTGTTTTTCTTCTTCTGTTTTCCCACCCCCCCCCCACTGTTCTTTTTTTTTTTTTCTTTCTTCCGATTTATTTCATTTTTCTCTACTGATTCACTTCCCTACTTTTTATTTGCTTTTATTATTATTATTATTATTATTATTATTATTATTATTATTATTATTTGCTTCTTGGTGTACATCACACTTTATTTTTAGCGGAATGTTCTTTTCTTTTTTTTTTCCTATTGATTTTTTTTTTTTTTTGATGGGGTTTTCTTCTCTTGACTATCATGGTATCTCGATCTCTGTATCTATCTATCTATTTCTTTTCATATATATATATATATATATATATATATATATATATATAAATAACTGTAGGGGATGTAGGTTGTACGTAAATGTCTTTTGTTTTTTTTGCAGCATTTCTTCTATTCTTCTGTTTAGAATAGTGAGAGTGTGTGTCTGTGTGTAAAACATTAACAGAGATGGGGATATGAACTAGTAGTTTTGCTTAACTCTCTTTCTCTTTCTCTCTTTTTCTCTTTGAGTGCGTGTATGTATATACGCCAGTGAAAGAAATGAAAGGGAAATGAGAAGAAAGAGAATTCCAATGATAATGATAAAGATGATTGCTCTGACTGTTATTGTGAGAAAAAAAAAGAAACGAGAAAAAAAAAGAAGAAAGAAAGAATACTACGGTGATTCTTCACCATTAAGGAGGCTGTTCTTATCTTTTTGCAAGCCATAGGAGAAACAGCAAAAGGAAGAAGAAGAAGAAGAGAAAAAAAAACCCAATAAAAGTGGATATCTCTCTTTTTTTTTTTTTCTTCTTTGCTAATACGCAAGCAAACACACGCAAATGCAGATATTTATTTACAAACGTACGTGCTCTGTATAGGGAAAAAGAAAGAAAGAAAAAGATTCCAATGAGAGAAAGATTATGAGCCAAGTCAGGAGAAAAGAAAAAAAAAAAAAAGGAGCTCTATAAAAAAACACGGTTCAGGATATTTTAAAACGCCTTCAAGTGAAAAGAAAAAAAAAGGAAAAAAAAAAGGCTTTTCTTTACTTCTACATGGTTTTGTAGCTCATATCTTCTTCTTTTTTTTCCTGTTTTTGTTCATATTATTATTTATTTTGCTTCATTTCTGTACAGGTAGGTTCAATGTGGTTATTTCTATCATTTATTTTTCTTTTGTTATTTTTATTTTTTTTTGATGTTCTCCGCCGGCGGAGAGGGTGAGGGGTATCGGTATGAAGATGGGAGGAGAACAGAAAAGAAAAGAATAAGAATAAGAAGAGGAGTGAAAACAAAAAAAAAAAAAATGAAGAGAAAAGGTGAACGCGTGAAATCACATATCACACAGGCGACACCACTCCTTTGATTCAACTATATATATATATATATATATATAATAGTTTATATATAATAGTATTTATGCTTGTTAGTGTGTATTTACATATGTATGTATATAGATATATATAATATAATATATATATATATATATATATA